GGGGAGACGCTATTGTTCACTGGCATATGCAAATTTGTATTTATCTTTTGGGAACATTCCCAGGAGCGTGTGAAGCTTGAACAGAGCGATGAAACCGAGAAACACAGAGCATCTGGTGAGAAGCACGGAAGCTCAAAACAGGATAATGCAGCTTCCGAATCAAGCAACCGTCCCAATCGGTGCAGTCCCAAACCAAGGTCTTCAAGAGGTGAACGACCAGGAATGTCTTCCAGAGATTCTCATCATTCTTCACGTCGATCTCCCACTGCGCGACATGAAAGTAGTCGGCAGAGGGAAGGCGCTGAACGGGACCGGACACGCTCCCCAAAAAAGCCTCACTCCTCTGACAGACACGTCGACTCTGGCCAACCGCTTGACAAAAGCCAGGAAACAACCGCTCCAGAAACCGCGAGATTTCCCGCAGAGTCGAAAAATTCCCGACCAGCAGATTCAAAAGGGTACGTTGAACAATTGCGCAGTGCTGGTAAATCGGTAAAGCGTTTATATCTCTTGTACAAGGCTTTGCATTCCAAACTGCACATAATGTTTTGCAACCGTGTCTTACAGGCATTGTACTTGGGAGGCCATTGGTCCTTTCTGTTAAACTTGCTGAAGCCCATGTCTCTGGTTCACCGCTGTGAGTTGTGTTGGAATACTCTGCACAGTACTGCGTCAGAATGGAGACCCTTACTCATCGAGGAGCCATTGCGCTGAGTCCCCAAGTACTGTCCAGTTTGCGGTGGCCGGAGTACAATGGATTGCTTTTCGGACTACTGCAATTCAATGCAGAGTGCTTGCCATCAGCACTCACCTTGGACTCGAAGAGCTCACAAAGCCTTCAGCTTCACGGTTATGATCCACTAGGCTGTGTAATCAAACAGTACTTCAGATGCAATAAAGTTTGTTACCAAGGTTCATTTGATGACATGTCGTCAACATGTCACGTCAACAGTCATCGTTGCATATCGCCAAACTTTACCGGTTGGTTTGAAATCCCCGTTACAGGAGTTCCGTTCTTTTGACTTTCT